CTTCTACCGTATGTGACTTACACACACACACTTTTATTTTTATTTTCAAAGGTACCTTCGCAATTGGGGAATATTTATCGAAAGAAGCAGTTCAAGACATGCAACTCATGTTAGAATTTTTTTATTTTGATCATTGTGTAGCCATGTTGCATAAGAATTCACCTTACACAGAAAAACTAAGTGAATTAATAGGAAGGCTCCACCAGTCTGGTTTGTTGTTGGCTTGGGAATCTCAGGTACCTACACTATCTCACCTATGCAAATATGTTAGGTATATTATTATTAGGAGTTCGTGATTATGTGTTTGGAACTCAATATTTCATTTTTTTTACTTCGTTTTTACTAATTTTTCGTATAATTTGAGTATGATTATAATAACGAGTAAAACCTTCGTGGCACGCCCAAGACGCCCTAGCTTTTTCATCTACGCCGTTCATTCTTCGGATGCATATTTGAATACCAATTTATCACTATATATTCCACCTAGTAAATTGCATCTACAAAAAATCCCATGGTCACTTTTCTAGCTATCCAGTCGCACCACGGCGCCACCCAATGGACCGATTTAATTATCTATACCTTTGCTCTCATCGGATTGTGTGATCATTTCGTTTTATTTTTAATTACATAATTACGAAATTAGTAACTAAATGGCCTTTAAGCAAAAATGAATATTTACTGTTGTAATGTCAACATAATATACCCGAATGGAGTCGGTAGAATACAATTTATTTATAAGTAAGCACAAACAACATAGTTAAGCACAATTTTCTATTCGGCTTGTTAACCAATTTAATTCTTTTTTTTTTGTTATGGAGCTTCAATGTGTGTGACCAGTTTGTAGGACTTTTTTTTTAAGATGACATTTACAAAATGACAGAGATAATGTATAATTTTATGGTAATTAATGTAAATTTTGAGATGTTAATAAATTTCAATCAAAGGGTGAACACTAGTACATACAAATACATACTAGTACTAGTACTAGTACATACATAGTGTTACAAAACTACCCGAAAGTAAAGGTAAAATACGTACGTAGGCCTTTCTTTTAAATAATCTGGTTCCCTGATATGACAGCTTACTAGGGTTGACAAAATTTATAGCTTTGATAATTAATTATATATTTTATCTGTTATTTTTTAACACGTTGTATAGACTCATATACTATGTCTTTTTAGCGTGAAACCTGGGTTCGAATTGAATAAAATGATAGTCGTTATTCCCAAGCAGTTTTTAGCTCACGCTGCAAGATGAGTACCCGAGTAAGCTTTGTGCTTGCTGTCTCATTCACTCATGTGCATAAACAAAAAATCATAATAAACTCAGTTTTTGGCGAAGTATCGACCTAATGTAAAAAACATACAATATTGGTGCAACGCCGAGTCTTCACTTTCTCGATAACAGTTCAAAGACGAAGTTATTCAATTCGACACAAGTATTTACGTGTTTAATTTATTAAATATAGGTATGTATATATTTAAGGTCTCTTTGAAGTACTTGGATTACAAAATTCAATTGGAAACAAGACTATCTCGTGCTAGAAGTGACGTTGGTGATTTAAAGCCGCTTAATTTCAATCATGTTGAGGTAACAAGCAAAAAGTTAATTATATCTTTTTAATACAGTTTACCAACTGACGGCGCTGAATAATGGCAAACCTAAGGCTTTTCCTATTTTATAAGTTTACCGTGAAGTAGGTATGCAGTTAGTTGTTTCGGTTTGAAGGGTGAGCAAGCCTATACCATGAAAAGGAGACTTTAAGCTCATTTCTTAAAGTAGGTTGCAGTTTATTTAAAAATCTCGTAAGCAAAATTATAATGGTAATACATATAACACCACCTTTTTTTATTTTAATTGCATATATGGATGGATGAACTCACAACTCACCTGGTGTTAAGTGGTTACCGGAGCCCATAGACATATACAACGCAAATGCCGCCACCCACCCCGAAATATTTCCACCTAAGAGTACGAAGAAGTAAGTATTGAATTCATAAGAATTTCAGTTAGTCAGACACATAATAAGTTGAATTCAATATACAGTAATACAATATAATTTTTGCTTTAATTATTTACTAAATGCTTACATTGTTATAAAGTATATTATAGTTAATGACTCACCGAAAAGTTTACTCATTTTAAGTAATGATACAATTTTGTTACAGGGTATTTTTTTGATATTTATTACCGGTACAATATTGTCTACCCTTTTTTTCGCACTGGAAATATTCATAGGTAAACAAGCACGCAAGAAATAGTGGCAGCAGTTTTGAAGAATAAGTATGATATTTAACAGGTCAATACACCATTTACGTAATCAATTGATAAGGTTTAAATTAAAATATACTTACTTATTATTGTTTTATTTAAAGTAGTGCTTAATTTTTGCTTGATTTGTAAATTGTATCGCGAATGAAATATATCTAGGTCACAACTAAGCTATTTTATTTTTTATTGCCCGTGCAGGCAGACGAGCATACGGCCCACCTGATGGTATGTGGTTACCGTCGCTCATGGACGTCAGCAATGCCAGGGGCAGAGCCAAGCCGCTGCCTATTGCTTAATACTTTCAACAAGCCTCGTTTGAAGAAGGACATGTCATAGCGCTCGGGAAGCACCGTGGAGGGGAGCTCATTCCAATGTCGTATGGTTCGTGGCAAAAATGATCTCTGGAAATGCACTGTGGATGAACGCAGCGGCTCCAGGTAGTATGGATGAACTCTACTCCGGTGGCGGGCGGTGCGATGGTAAAAACGAAATGATGGTGTCATCTTGCACAATTCTTCAGAGCACTCCTCATGGAACATACGGTACAAAATACAGGAACCGAAGTCCCTCCGCAGACCCAGAGGTTCCAAACGATCTGGGAGAATGGGATTATCGACAATCCGAACGGCTCTCTTCTGTATGGAGTCAAATGGAAGTAGCTGGTATTTGGGAGCCCCGGCCCAGAGGAGCGAGCAGTACTTCACGTGAGGCCGGACCTGTGCTTTGTAAAGCAAAAGTCTTTGTCCAGGCGTGAAGTACCGCTTCGCTCTGTTGAGCACTCCCAGCATTTTTGACGCCAACTTGGCTTTGCCCTCCAAGTGACTCCGAAATTTGACATCACTCGAAATGTAGACCCCAAGTATCCCAATACTTTTGGAAGGTTGTAGAGATACTCCTTGGAATTGTGGCGCCATGACAAAGGGGTCCTTCTTCGCAGTGAACGCGCAAACTTGTGTCTTCAACGGGTTGAATTGAACTAAATTCGATTCACCCCACTCGGAGACATCAACCCAGCGAAAAGCACTGCGGTGCTATTTCAAAGGGGAAACTCCACACGGATTTCCTCCCGGATTAGGAGGAGAAATCTCATACCCCCGATTATCCTCTTCAGCCAAACCATATCTTGGGCCAGGAAGGTGAANCGCAGTGAACGCGCAAACTTGTGTCTTCAACGGGTTGAATTGAACTAAATTCGATTCACCCCACTCGGAGACATCAACCCAGCGAAAAGCACTGCGGTGCTATTTCAAAGGGGAAACTCCACACGGATTTCCTCCCGGATTAGGAGGAGAAATCTCATACCCCCGATTATCCTCTTCAGCCAAACCATATCTTGGGCCAGGAAGGTGAAGCACCTGGGTGTCACCCTGGATGCATCCATGACTTTCCGCCCCCATATAAAATCCGTCCGCGACCGCACCGCGTTTCTTCTCGGCAGACTACCCCATGATCTGTAATTGGAGTAAAATATCCCTTCAGAACAAGGTGACACTTTACAAAACTTGCATAAGGTCCGTCATGACTTACGCTAGTGTACTATTCGCTCACGCGGCCCGCATACACATAGACAACGTCCAATACCTTTTTTTTTTTTTTACAATCCCGCTTTTGTAGGCTCCCGCTTTGTCGGAGCTCCGTGGTTCGTGAGGAACGTTGACTTACACGACGAATCACGGCCGGCTATACAGCACGCGAAACAGCTACTCCTGAGTTGTTAGATCTCCTTTGGGTGCACTCGGGTAGCAGTTAGCAAATCCCACCTCTCCTGGCTGAGCTTTTGCTCGCCCACCTGCCCTGTTAAAATTGGAAAGGCCTCCGGGCCACCAGTAACTTCTCAAACATAAAAAAAGACAAATGATATTTTAATTTCCTAGCCTGACATGGCAGAAAGAATAGTGCCATTATCGTGATTTTTACGATGCTAGTTAGCGCCAAATACAAGAGGGACACTGATTTCTTTTAGGAAACCAAGATGTAGAGATAAAATTTTGTGTCTAAATGAAAAGTATATCCATGTCGTGGTATTTCAAAGTGTAGAATACGAATAAAATCATTTTCAGTATTAAACACAGAAGCTAGCTTAAAAAAAAATAGTTTAAAAAACTAACAAAATATGTACGCTTTTATAAAAAATCCAACTAAAAAATAGAAAATAAATTTTAATAAATTTGAATTAAAATAAGTGTAAGAAAAAATGATTTTATTGTAAAAAAAAGCGTGGAGTGCATGGTATAAGTAGTTATAAATATTTTATGAACAGATATGAGTAGAAGGGTTATTTTGATAATATCCTGAAAAGCACCCCACGCTTTTTTACAATTAAATAATTTTTTCTTACACTATTATTAATTCAAATTTATTAAAATTTATTTTCTATTTTTTAGTTGGATTTTCTATAAAAGCGTGATTTGTTAGTTTTTTTAAACTATTATTTATTTTTGAGTTTTTAGTTGAATTTCAATTATTCCAATGTTTTTTTTTCAATTTTTTTTTAAATATTGGATTGTAATCGGTCCTTAATAAGTATACCTTTCGAGTTAATCCAACGTTTCGAAGGGAGTCAAAATCAAGAGTTCAAAGATTCCGTTACAAACATACATGATACGTCTGAAGCTAATAAAAGCGTATTAATAAGCAAGGTCTTCAATAACTTTTTCAATTTGTGCTTTTTATATCACATCACTATCTGCCCCTGTCAGCTGCGCCGGTGACGGCGGCGCGGCGGGATAATCGAATATCGATCGGCGGACTGAATGTAGGTAGTGTACAGTCGACATTCGACGTCTTGCGTTTCGTGTTGTTTGACGCGGATGAAACTGTGATTCGTATTGTAGAAAATTAAAATGCTAAAATAATATAATAAAATTTTAATTATTTAAAATGGCTTTGTATAGTTTCGTGTGTTTTTCTCTTTTATTAACGGTGTCTGCAGAGTTCCAGTGGAAACATCATAACAATGAAGAACTACCCTTGGTTTTACAAGAAGTACATAATAACTGCCCGAATATAACTAGAATCTATGCATTAAGTGAGCCCTCAGTTTGCAATGTTCCCTTGTATGTCATAGAATTTGCACAGGTTCCTGGTTTTCATCGACCGTGTAAGTAAAAGTGGAAATTCAATAAAATATTCATTAAAAAAAATGCGATATGATTGTGTTTTGCTGCAGATATACCAGAAGCCAAATATATAGGGAATATTCACGGAAACGAAGTTCTGGGTCGAGAGCTGCTTTTGGGATTGGCACATTATCTTTGTGATCAATATAGGAAAAATGATCCTGAAATAAAAGCTCTGATTACTAATACCAGAATCCATTTGTTACCATCAATGAATCCTGATGGATGGCAACTTGCCACTGATACAGTAAGTAACTACCTCCTTTTTTTGATATGATGCAAATTTGTTAATTTATATGCGATTTTATTTTAAGGGTGGAAAAGATTACTTGATAGGCCGAACAAATAATCATGAAGTGGATCTCAACAGAAATTTCCCAGACTTAGATGCTATTACATTTGACTTTGAACGCCAGGGTCTTAGCCACAACAACCATTTATTGAAGGATCTCACTCAATTGAGTGCTCCTGTAAGGAATCATATTTGTATTTATTGTAACAATACTTTTAACGCAAGACTTGAATTTTATTGAATTTATTTTAATCATATTAAGCTGGAGCCAGAAACAAGAGCTGTTATGCGCTGGATTATGTCTACACCATTTGTATTGAGTGCTGCAATACATGGAGGTGACTTGGTTGCTAATTACCCATATGATGAGAGCAAAACTGGAGCTTCGGCCGCAGAGTATTCTGCAAGTCCAGATGATGAAACCTTCAGGTAAGATTTATACTAATTCAAATTAATAATGTGATATATATGTAATAAGCTTTAATAATAATTTCTAAAATAAAATTTTTAGTATTGAGTATTGACATCTTGTGGTGATTATGAGATTGTATACCTTAATCATACAAAGTGAACTTTGAGCTGGACTCCTCATTTAACTAATTAAAATAACTAAAGTAATTAAAGTAACATTTATTTAGTTTGAGACATTCTCTAGGTAAAATAAAATTCAAAGGATTTGTCAGGAGAACCTTTGTTGGTCACTGCTATTCTGATCCTAATCTATCTGTCTGATCATCTATCTGAAAATTCATCAGAGAATATGCATATATGAACCTGGTCATCTCTCTTTAATTCTTTTATCTGATCTATGGTAGATTAATTAATTACCTTTCTAAAAGTCTATCAGCTCCCATCTCCAATTTTTTCTTAATTTACTGGTGATATTACACTTTAGAAGCCTGTTNTGGTCACTGCTATTCTGATCCTAATCTATCTGTCTGATCATCTATCTGAAAATTCATCAGAGAATATGCATATATGAACCTGGTCATCTCTCTTTAATTCTTTTATCTGATCTATGGTAGATTAATTAATTACCTTTCTAAAAGTCTATCAGCTCCCATCTCCAATTTTTTCTTAATTTACTGGTGATATTACACTTTAGAAGCCTGTTGGTTACTAATTGTGAACCAGCATGTCTCAGTCGGTGGTCACTTTAGAATGTGTGGGGTGTGTGGGTTCTAGGAGCAACTAGACGGTGAACTTGGGTGTCCAGTGCAATAAAAATGTATAAACAACCTAAAATCGAAGTTCAGGTTAATTACTATTTTAATTTGTATACATTGACCAGTTAAGCTGTAGTGTATGTTTAGCATGCTTTTAAAAGAATAGTCAGTTACGTTATTAGAGATTCAGTAAATGCAGTTATAACGTCACATAAAATATATTATTATAATAGACTTCGAATGTCAATTTGGAAGTTAAAAAAAAGCTCCTTAGTCGCGCTTCCTTCATTCGCGTTTTCACTATTCGCGGATAAGAAGAAATGCGACCCAATTCCTATATTCGCCGTAAAAAAAATATATTCGCCGTAAAAAAAATATATTCGCCGATCTAATAAGTACATAACAATTATGTATTTGATTTACCTAATCTATTTATTTATTGATTAGGGAATTGGCAATGACTTATGCATTGGCCCACGCGGACATGGCGTCGCCGACCCGTAGGGGATGCCATACCACTAGTAGTGACGATGTCTCATACAACTTCGGCAAACAGGGCGGCGTGACCAATGGAGCGGCTTGGTACAGTTTAAAAGGAGGTAAGCAGTAATAAGATATATTGCGTCCCATTTGATAAATTTTTTTTGGAGCCTGCCCCTTTTTTCACAGGTTTCTTTAAGTTGCATAGATTTTTTTATTTATTTAGTGTAATGAGTGGACGTGCTTATTTACCTAATGTAAATTGATTTACCGGAAGCCATTTATAGGCATCACAACGTCGCTGCCTATCTTGAAGCTTGAAGTCCAAATCTCTATTGTATTGTATGTCTTATCCCTCAAACCTGAAAGTACAATTACCGCAGAAATAAGCAGAACATACCATCCGTGCAACACAATCGTCCTACCATTTTTCCTTTCCTTATTACGACTTATTAAACTGTGTCCCAGGTTGAGCCCCGTGAGTTCACTTACTAACCCGCGCGTAGCTGGAATAGCCCAGCGATTAGATTGATAAAAAACTAAATGTTATACATCTCATTTAATAAAAAAAAAACCTAATAAAATAAAATCATTAATCTATTATGCATCGTCGACTCAAATGCCATAAAACTACTTGCAACTGAATTATAGTTTCATTTTCCTCAGAAACAGACTTGTTCTTATATAAGACTTGAAATACGTGTTAATTACAACTAATCTGCAATGTAGCCTAGAAAAATTTTCGGTCCATTTTATCTTTGCTTTTGCATTCAAGTTATAAGCAAAATAAAAACAAACCTAGTACAAAATTTTAAAACTAAACCGATACTATTGATCCGCGGACGTTAATGTTAAAAAATTAGAACAAAAAAAAAAGACGAACCTATGATATGTTTTTATACGTGTTCCTTTCATGAAACGGGAAGAATAAAAAGGAGGAAGTGTAGGCCGCTGATCACTGCTCTTTTATTCATTGGCATTTACGTTTACGCCAACTAAAGTTGACCATGAAACGTAAACTGGTTTAGTAATGCTAATTCACTCGCATTGTCAACCTTATTGTATTATTAAGTATACAGGATTCGGTCGTTTTGAGATTTATTCTAGAAAAATCTGCGCCTGAAAACGCGTATTGTAATCGAAACAATAAGGCTGATCTGTAATGACGGTCGTTAGGTTTTCGTTTTTCATACAAATAGAGTAAACCGTACAGATAATTAAGTGTAACGATCATTTTTGATGAACAATAGGGAACATGCATTTCTTTTAAATTCTCAGTCTATATAGTCTATCAAAAGAACAAGCAATAAATAAATGGCTGTCATACTGGCGTTTTTGACTACAACTTTTTTTTTATGCTTACATGGGTGGACGAGCTCACAGCCCACCTGGTGTTAAGTGGTTACTGGAGCCCATAGACATCTACAACGTAAATGCGCCACCCACCTTGAAATATAAGTTCTAAGGTCTATAGTCAAACGACTGCCCCACTCTTCAAACCGAAACCGCATTACTGCTTCACGGTAGAAATAGGCAGGGTGGTGGTACCTACCCGTGCGGACTCACAAGAGATCCTACCACCAGTAATAATAACTACTCGATTTAAAAAAAATATCGATTAAGGAAAACTCGTTAGATGATGCGAAATAATTTCTTAGTATAAATGTAATATCACGGATTCGTTACACTTATACAGGATGCGTAATATGATTGAAAATGTATTGTTATTTACGATATATGTTTATATTATGATAAAACTGCTTTTACAAATCCACACGCTTGATTAATGCTAGTATTATGTGTATTTATTGTAAATTTACAAGCGTTACCGAATTAGACACATGCATTTGTATGAGAAAACGACTATTTATAATTTCGGATGAGTAAATTGTGATTATTTATATTATGGCAAATTGTGTGGATGTTTATGACTTCATGTTTAAGTTTTTTTTATTTGATTTTCCTTGAAGACTGACGTGTGTACTTACGGCCATCTTGATGGTGTATGTTCATCAATACTCATGGACATTAGCACTGTCAGAGGCAAGCTGACTCGTTGTTCACCATGACATTTCTTGAAATAATTGATTTAAATATAGCCTAGGCAAAGTCACGTTCCTGGGGAAAATAAAATTGGAATAGTTTTTTCCAATGGGATCCGCATTTTTTGCTTCTGGTGTCGAGAAATATTGTGTGGAACCCATACATATTCGCATGTCTAAATTGAACACAAATTGTGTCTTTATTGATGAAATATATGTACATTGTGTAAATTGTAACATTTTTGTTAGTTTTGACTTTGGGATTCATTACTGATGGATCTGATCCACTTTCAACACTGTAGGCTTCAATTCGAGCAGTAGCCCAAACACTCGTCTAACTTTTCGAAAAGATATTCCACATACCGAGATCACAAGCACTGCTTTCAATCCAAAAGTAGCAGTGACTTTGAAAACGTTGAAAAACTTGGTACCACCCCTTTTTACGAAAATTGCGCGGACGAAGGAATATGGAATTTCCCACACTTATAGAGAATGAGTGCAGAATGCTAATATTTTTTTAAATTATGCTTTAATAATACATTAAATCAATAAGAGAACATTACACACACTACCGTGTATTTGACAAACACACACACATATATAAACTCTATTTAATGTCAAACTTTTGTTATTGCTAACCTAAGTCTGTGGTCAAATTGAGAATAAGTTACTATGGTTTATCTTTAATATTATTTGTCTATAGTGGTCTTGGCGAAATCTGTGACTAAAGAATTCTATTAGTCTTTGACAATAGAACCTTAATACCTAATGTTCAAAACTTATAATTACAATTAATTATAGTCGAATCTCGATTACTGTTGGACCACTAGTTAGTTATTAATATATTACAGGGATGCAAGATTTCAACTATTTGGCAACGAATGCTTTCGAAATTACACTGGAACTGGGCTGCGAAAAATATCCGTCAGCTGAACTTTTAGAAACCGAGTGGAACAGAAATCGCGAAGCGCTCTTGGAATACTTGTGGAAAGCCCACATCGGTGTCAAAGGTGTTGTCAGCGATAGTAAAGGTTTCATACCGAATGCTATTATTTCTGTTGTCAACTGCACCGGATCCGTAACGAAACCGATCCGACACGATGTCACGACAGGTAATTTAACTTTCTATACATCCTTAATTTAATGTCTACACATAATATTTATATCAATACAAAGTGATGATTTGTCAAAAACAAACTAGCCATATTTCAGTTTTTATTTTAATTGAAAAATTGCAAATAACGATCATAAAATACTTTTTTTTTTATTGCTTAGATGGGTGGACGGGCTCATGGCCCATCTGGTGTTAAGTGGTTACTGGAGCCCATAGACATCTGTCTACACCGTAAATGCACCACCCACCTTGAGATATAAGTTCTAAGGTCTCAGTATAGTTACAACGGCTGCCCCTTCCTTCAAACCGAAACGCATTACTGCTTCATGACAGAAATAGGCAGGGTGGTGGTACCTACCCATGCGGACTTACAAGAGGTCCTACCACCAGTAAAATAATTCAATAATTATTAGTTAAAATCAAAGAGTCATTTAAAAATATATTCTTTTTAAGAATTATCTGAGAGCACGTCACGGGTTTGTAAAATAACTAGTCAGGTCATAAGTATTGTCACACAGTAAAAACTTTTCTTTTACAATGCTGGCCACAAAAAAGTTTATTGAATTCGAATTTCGAATTGTTCATGAAAATAAAAATGTATACTTTTAGAATTTTACTCATTTTTAAATATGGAGTGGACGCTTAAAGAAGACCGTGTTGCAGTTACTGCATTGCATCGTTGCGGTTACGCGCCAATTCAAATTTTTAACATACTGAAAAATTTGAATATAACCAAAAGATTCGTTTATCGTACCATCAAACGATACAATGAAGACTCTAGTGTAGATGACAGGTCAAGAAGTGGTCGCCCTCGGTCTGTTAGGACTCCAGCAGTTATAAAAGCTGTGAAGGCGCGAATTCAAAGAAATCCCAAACGTAAGCAGAAACTGTTGGCCCTTCAAATGGGGTTAAGCAGAACCACGGTGAAAAGGGTGTTAAATGAAGACTTAGGGCTTCGGGCATATCGAAGAAAAACAGGACATCGTTTGAATGCTCGTCTAATGGACCTGAGACTGAAGAGATGCCGCGCTTTGTNAGGGCATTTCGTTATCTCTCTCTAATGCGGTGTAAGAAAAAGAGAGACGTTAAAACGCATATTAATATGTCTCGTGTTTATAAAGTGAACAATGCGGTAGTAGCAGTGAATTTACAAACTTCCTTTATAATGCAAGTGGACTAAACGTTTGCTTTTAATGAATATTTTACTTCGTTCTGCGAATATTGAGATTGAGATCAGTCTTTGTTAGACTTAAATTATTCAGTATAAAATACATATATAAATTTAAATTAAATTGGTGATCACATCAGAAAATAATCGATGTATTTCGTATAAGCTATGTATGGTAGAGAAAAAAAAATGACCTTCACCGACGACTAGTTAGTTCACTAATATTAGATCAGTAGGTAAAATGCGATCGTTGCCCGTAGAGTAAGTACGCATGGGGGAAATGTGAAAATCTGCCGAAAAAAAATTTTTTTTTATATTGTCTTATTATTGTTATATATTATAGTATGTTTATATTATAATATTAGTAAACATATTTTTGTTGGTTGCTCAACGTTTAGCTCTTATTCTACATGACTGTATAGGTATTGTAATATGTGAATACGAATGTTCCAGCTTATGAAACCAATACTTATTCTATTTAGGTAAAGTATTTGTTTGACCTACATGATGCGATTGCATTCGACATGATTTGACTGTAAATGGCTTTATTGAAAATCCGATCACAAAATTCACTAAGAACTCGTCGACCCTGCTCGCTATGTCTTAAAACATAACTCAAATCTTGCAACTACATATAAAAACTTGTTTGATATATACATTTAAAATGATGGAGATTAACATAAATATATAACTGTTGAATGTCTGCAAAATGTTATAATTAAATATGGATTGATACGTAATTGTAGATTACGATTTTTATCACCAGTGCAAAAATCACGGTTGATTTACAGAGAGAGAGAGACAGCAAATGTGTGTCGAACGTTTATTGACTGTTATTTTTATTTACAACTATACAATAATAATAAAAATAAGTAAAAGTCACGTAATAGAAAATATTCGATATTAACTTAGGCTTGCCGTAAATACTGCTACAAGGAAAGCATTTTTTGTTTCTATCAACATTTCTTTCTTGTTTCATTGTTTCTTCTTTCAAATCATCTTATTTAAAAGACGAGCAAATATCACTACGAAATAATGGTTTCAATCAATTCAATAATTTATGATATTTAATAAATTATTATTATTTTGTAAAATTTAAACTGATAAGGTCCGCTTATTAACACCATCTATAGTAACAGCATTCGTTGGTAACCGGAGTACTTGAACATCAAAAAGTTAATTCCCCAACCCAATTTCGTGAGAGCGATGTTACCTACTCATACGATATGCTCTTATTCGCATTATTTTTTCTGACTTTTTAAGTCATTCTTTATCGCGGAATTAGTTCGTGAACCAATGTTTAGACGGTATTTAGAGAAACTGGTACCTACCTTATAATATGTGTCCTAGCTTCAACTAACCATTGGATTGTATCGGTTACATAGTAACATAGGTGCAGTTGCATTGTACACAAATATACCGTTGCCTTCCCGTTGGGCCAAGTTCTTTTCAAACTGATTATTTTAAGATACTGATACTAAAGACTATTGGCTACTTAAGAATTTAGATTTGTTTAATTATTGTAGTGATTAACATGTATATAAACAAAAATAGATAGGGAGGGATATATGAAAGATGACCTGTGATTACGCAGCAAAATAATGTATGAATTAATTTTTTTTTTGCATAAATCAGGTCCATACGGTGATTACTATCGCTTGCTGACACCCGGACAGTACGAGATCACGGCTACACATACCGGTCACTTTCAAGCCTCACGAATGGTTTCCGTACCAAAGAACCAGAAGTCTGCTATCATCTTGGATTTCAGACTAGAAGAGGTATGTATTGATCTTCTCAGCGGGTCGCGATTCCGATCCGATAGTAGATTCATTCGCGAAGCAACTGCTCTTGAGCTGTTAGGTCTCCTTCGGAGGCGCTCGGGTAGCTGTTAGCAAATCCCACCCCTCCTGGCTGAGCCTTTGCTCGCCCACCTGTCCTGGTGAAACTGGAAAGGCCTCCGGGCCACCAGTAAATATTCAATCATAAAAAAAAAGGTATGTATTTTTGGGTCTAACACACATTATCGACGTAGATTAGCGCGATGTCCATCTGATGGTGAACTGTTACCGTCTATGATAGCTCATACATAAGAATTAGAACGCTACAGATTGACCATTTGTAATTGTAACCGTTGTAAATAAAGTAAGAGTCGTATGAAAGTAATAATTATTTAATTTAAGCGGAAAACCCCCGGATCTCTTAGTTGAATGGTGGCAATGAAGTGTTCTAATTTAAAAAAAAAGAAGATGAAATTATGTGAATCCGTATTAATCGGACACGTGACATTAAAACACGTGTGACCTTTTCGGTACTGATTACAGAGCCTCAACGATGTCGTGAAATGTTTGATAACCATAACCGGTATAATGGATTTGGGTAAATTGATAGTGTCACTGTAATTTTGTTTCGAGATTACCTTTATACATAGATACATAATATGTATAAATTAAGTATGCATCCGAAATCAAAACTGTAAAAAATCAGTCAAACCTTACGAATTAAAAATATAAATTGGTATAGGCATACATGACTTATATTCGTATTGTGCTTTATTATATATATATTTTTTAAGACGAAACCATTGACCTTTGTACGCACAAAGTCTAACGTAAACAAATGACCTTAATGTTTTTAATATAGTGTTGTAGATCAACGCAAATGCGTTACCGTTTCGCGTTGTTACGAGATAATGACGTCAAATGAATATAATCGAAAGATACGTACGTACGTTGAAAGGTTTTGACGTGAGTAGGAGTGTATCGATTAACGTGTGGGTCGTGTGATCCAATCGCCTGTACCTATTTTAGAAACGAAGTGAATTGAGAAATTTACCATATTCATTTGACATTTAAATGCCATCGTTTATGAAGGTTCGATAATCTTGTTTGTGTATTTTAATTATATTTACATAGTCTTTTTGGGGATGACTGCGACGAACGGATGGCTTGCGTTAGTTTAAAAAAAATTAGCAACAGTCGTATTAAAACTTAATAGTTCACTATAAATGTTTTTTTTTTTCTTAATTTTTTTTTCCATCTATGCTGATGTCCTTGAGAGGCTATATCAGAGTTACTCTAGCGTGTAGGTGAGCTCTCGGGGTTCAAACCGAAGTGTTGCTAACACCGGCCCTAGCAAGAGCCATGCTTCGCAGAATCTACCCCCGGATCGGAAGCGCGACCTACTGAGAAGATCCGGCGGTAGGCAGCGGCTTGGCTCTGCCCCTGGCATTGCTGAAGTCCATGGGCGACGGTAACCACTCACCATCAGGTGGGCCGTATGCTAGTCTGCCTACAAGGGCAATAAAAAAAAAAAAAAACTCAGTGGGTTGTGTCGGGGTTAATTTATTCGTCGAGCCCTTCGCAAGCGACGGGTAAATGCATATTGTGGTAGATATAGTATGGAACTTTGTCGCTGAAGTGATGCTTATGAAATAAAACATATAGCTTAACATGATTATGCAATGATCAAGATTTTATTCAGCCATAAGTTACAAACACGTTTAATATGCAAAAACTCGTCTGTCTACTCTAATTAATGTAAATGACAGATATAGTTTTTTTTTTCTTTTAATATAGTCTCATAAATTATTACTACACATTGAACTATTTAAAAGAAATAGTCCGGTCAATGATGAAATGGTTTTTCCATCAAGAATTTAAAAAATGCTCACACATAATTATGTTCAGGATTAGTAATAATTTACTCTGGATTACATATTTACAGCGCATACTTTTATTCATTTTTATTATACATTCGTACCTTCGGAGTTTTTTCTCACAGCCCACCTGGTGTTAAGTGGTTACTGGAGCCCATAGACATCCACAACGTAAATGCGCCGCCTACCTTGAGATATATGTTCTAAGGTCTCACGTATAGTTACAACGGCTGCCCCACCCTTCAAACCGAAACGCATTACTGCTTCACGGCAGAAATGGGCAGGATGGTGATACCCACCCGCGCGCACTCACAAGAGGTCCTACGACCAGTAAAACCACTTAGTTGAATAAGTATTGAAAATGAGTTGTCAGCCGGAATTTTTTGAGCTATTCTATAGCAATATCATTAAATAATGGTCATGTAGAGGTATACGATAAAGGGAAAATCTATCTTCCACCGAGCGGGTGAAATTGCTCGGTAGAATGACAGTCTAATTTTTGTTGTTTGGAATTTGTATATATGCAAACTAATCTTGAATATGTCGTAAGCGAGATTCAGACATCTCTCAAATATCTTGTGTTTTATGATACCTACCGCAACAATCAAACTATCCATCCTGAACTGATACTACGGTCCGTTACAGGGACCAACTCGTGTTCTGCTATTAAGGTTTTTGTATGAAATAAATTAGATATCATTGTTATGTGCTCCGCAATCTATACTAATATTATAAAGAGGAAAGATTTGTTTGTTTGTTTGTTTCGAATAGGCTCCGAAACTACTGGACCGATTTGAAAAATTCTTTTTCCATTAGAAGCCGACATTGTCCCTGATGAACATAGGCTACTTTTTTTATTATTATTTTTTTTATATTTTTTTTTGGTTTCATGTGTGTTTTAATGTTTCCGAAGCGAAGCGAGGGCGGGTCGCTAGTAAACTATACTTATGTTAAATAGATATTTTTATCATACCGGCAGTAGCATTTATGTAAACTTCTATCGCCGGCCAGTGATAACTTCTATCAATAGGATGTGATGTTCAATATATTGCATTTTTCTTCCATTAAAATACAAACAATTATTTTTTTATATCCTGTATGCGAATCATAAATAGTTAAGTTCGTTTGAAGATTTGTTTAAAGTCGACTTATGGGCCTTAGTCGAGTTGTTTAGATCGATTACATTTTGTTTTTTTTTACAGAATTAATTTAAATGTTTGTTCAAATAATCAACAATACAGTTATTACTAATGTAAATAATATAATAATACACTCTAGTAGAGTTGGGAATTAAAACTTTGTTCGTTCTTTGATTGTAGTCGGAAATGTTAATTTAAGATAATGTCTTTGTGCATATGAGATAGTTCATTGCACTGTAATAACATAGATGTTACTTTTTATTTGGACTGGTTTATGCTACATTTGAATATAAAATAAATTTACATGAATTATACGCAATGGAAAAAAAAGAAAGCATTAAACGTTTGGAAGGTAGATTTGAAATTAAAATAGCCAGTTTTTTTTTTCATTTCACTTGTAATTTTATTTTATGTTAATATATAACAGAGTATCCTATCATTTATGTAAGTACATTTGAGGTCATTAGCGCAAAAGTAGCCTAAGCTTACCTGAACTTACTATAGTAAGTATGGAGACAATGAGGTCTGAATTTATTTTTACACTGCCTCATAGGCAAAAATAAAACGCGCTAAAATAATTTTTACAAAGCCATCTGCTATCTATGGGCGAAACTAGGGATAGGCCGGTTTTGCATGAAAATTTATTATTTTTTAAATAAATTGCAATATAGTAGAACCACGAATATGAAAAAATGTAGAATAGGCCTTTATAACTATATATAATATAACTATTTTGCTGACGGCCTCATTTAAAAAAATATTCGAAATGCTTTTCAGAGATGTTTTAAAGTATGTAGGTCCGTCGTACAAACAACGGATCACATAATTCGTACAATTTTATCATGCAAACATTTTTATGTTTGTTCTGTACGTTAAATATTAAATATAGTATCGTAAATATTGCCGAAGCCATTAAATATAATTATTAATTGCCGTTGCATGGTCACTATAAATGATTGTGTGAAGGTTAATCGATTCGGACGGCATCTTCTTTTAACCTAATCGAATGCTCTATTTTTTATTTATATAGTTTCAGGGTAAAACAAATTGGCTCCAAGATCTGTCTTCGTTCGGAGTTTACTCGCCTTCGTTGCGTAACAGTCAACCAAGGATATACAAGCGATCTCTTTATGAAAAAGTAGCTGAAACAATGCTAGAAAATAGGGAAATCGTTAAGCAATAAATACGTGATTCGAACGTGAGTATATTGTTATGTATACTTACTAATAAACAAATGTGTATGTATGTTTAGTAATATATTCCATTTTATGACCTAAAATTAACAGTCTCTTACTTCGATACGTTAATTCGATACAGCACATTTATATAGTACCTAAATATTTTAAATAAATCTATTTCAAATTATACTAACAATGCGCATGTTAATTGCGTGCAGAGAAAAATTGTTAAAGTCGTCTTTTAAAGTTGCCATAGTTAAATTTTATAGTGTCAGTAATTACCAGAAATACCTTTTTATTACGCTACTGCACGTTTTTGGGAACAAATCCTAATACACTGTACAAGTTATTTAATAGAGTTTTCAAATGTAAGGAGGGCGAAATATGAAATGTAAGAAATGAAATTATCCGATTAAAAAAAAAAACTGATTTATGATACAACATTACTTAAATTGCAATTAGTCCCGGGATTAATTTTATGACTTTGTGACACTGAAATAGTAGATATTCAAGTGGTGCATATCGCCCCAAAAAAAACAAAGATAATAATATTTGAAAGCACTCCGTACACATCACTAGACTTTAATTAGGTACTGTACCTTAAAAGAAAATTAACAGTGTTACCCGTCGTAAAAAAGAGAACGGCAGTTTGCGATTGAAGTTGTGATAGATTGTGCACGGGTAGATGTAAATTGGGAGCGTAAATATATTTTTCTAACCAAATCCATTCAAAGAGAAAAAATGAGACAAAGATTAGGCTATATAATTATTTAGTGTTACTGTCAATTGTAATTTATCAAAATGACAGTTAATACCAAAAAAAGTTTGTAAAGAATAATGCTTTGTTTGATTTTGAGTCTACAAAAATAGCATATAAATTTCTCATGGAGGTAAACTAGTGTTGTAATGTACTCTGAAACCATATAAATCAATTTGTTATACATATATTTAGTTTTTATTATTATAATAAAGATAACGAATACCCATATCTTTTGTTAACATTTTTAAAACGAAATCTAGTCTAATACTTTAATATTATACGAAATTTTTATCAATTACATTATGTGATGTTAAACGAAATTTGTATTACATTGATTGATTGAGTTTTAAAAAAAATGCTAGTATCAATTATCGTTTCTAGTATCAACAGATGTTTTTTTCACACAAACGAACGAAACGACGAAACAAGGAAACATATTTAATAGATTTGTCTAACTCGACATCCTCTCATTTGGTAAAATAAAATCGAGCTCAAAATGCAAAGCTTAACACGAGGGAAAAAACATTAAAAACAATATGCAAAGTTGAAATGTTACGAAAAAATCAGATTACGAGAAAAGTTCCCAAAGCACTTACGCGAATAAAAAATATAGTTACCATTTTTTTAGCGTGTAGTTAATTATAAAATGATCGATGTAGTTAATAATTAATATGTAATACACCTTTTTTCTATGGTAATAAAATTAATGTCTAAAATTAATCTACTCCGAAGACTGATCGTTCGTCGATCTAAATAAGACATTTAAAAAAATCTTCTAACTCAAACGTTTTTTTTCTAAAATACTGTTAGGTCTCTTACTTAACCTCAGATTTGTGACAGTTTTTGAGATGAACGAAGCTTTATTCAGCATATTTAGTAAAATTTATCCTACTTTGTTCAAATGGATCGTATACACGTATCTTTTTTCGAGAGAAATAAGAATGCTACAATTATTTTTATTTGTAAGAACACCATGGTAACCCATTTCCGATAAGACATACACGACCCTAATTTTTGTTATTTTGTAAACTATCAAAGGCCGTAATGACTTTTGCAATCTGTAATAAAAAATAATTTACTCACAATATTATTCAAATATGAAGTTAATATGTATATAGGAAATTAAATGATATGTCAATGCATGAAATGTTGTTTTATTACATATGTGTTTATATAGAACATAGACTGTTCAGTTAGTGAGTTAAAAATGATGTTCCCAATCATTTTTATTGATTGATTTTACAATAAATAGAAACCTCTTACGAAATGATAATTTTAACATTTCATCATTTTAACATAATTAAAATGGCTAATTAATGTAAGTGCCACTTAATGTCAAGATTTTTGAAAACCCGCCATGTATAGCATACAAAACTGACCGCCAATCATCTTATTCCGGACGGTTTGGCATGTTTGTAGATATTCCGCCTACTTACATACTGCATCCAAACTAAACATAATGTATCTATGAAGTCGATGTGCCCTAGATCATAAGGCGGCAGCAGTGTATTGCCATCAAGCGATACTTTGCCGGTACTCAAATTCTGCATATATTATAGATACTAATTTTTATAAGGAAACGCGTACTTAATATATGTTTACGAACTTTAATGAAGAAATAATATATTTTAATAAAAAATAAACCCACAAAATTTATTTACTCTTCATAATTACTGTTGCTTGGTGCCGTGTCCTGTCTGCACCAAAGTTGTAGGTACCACCATTCTGTCTATTTCTACCGCGAAATACTCCGGTTTTAAGAGTATAATAGCTGTCATACAGTACAATTGATTCTTCAATTTCATATTTCAAGATGGCGTCCAAGTTGTGATATCGTTTCTAGTTAATATTTAGTAATAACATTAAAAAAGAAATTTCAAGATGCATTATTTCAAGCTTCCCTTAGTTGGGCTCTGAATTTATTGTAAAATAAAGATAACTTTAAATTAAACAATTTAAATAGTGTTAAACATTTTATTTGATCAAATTTAAAATGCTAACTTAATTTCTAAATAACTTTCTTTAGCACTACAAAGGTTTAACATATTAGTAGTATTCTTTAATTATTGGTATATGCTTAAAATAAATTGTATTGTTGGTCGCAAAAGTGTTTTTTTTTTTGGAAAAACATTAAAAAAATGATAATCACAAAGTATAATTATCTGAAGAATCAGTAATGGTTGGGCGTCTGCTAAAATTGTATAGTTTCAACTACACTCTACTACATTCCGTATATCATCTAGGAACTATTTAAATAAAGATGAATATAAAATGTTTAGTATAAATAAGAAAACATTGAATATAACAGATATGCACACAATACAACATTCTCACACATACTCAACACATAATGTGTTTTGTTATTACATAGTTTAAATTTATTCACAGGGGCGATGTGGTATCGTTCATTAAAACTATACATTTAATCCTAATAACTAATTATGTTCCTTAAATTGTGCAATTCTTTCTATGGTGTGCGCTCTTTAGCACCAAATAATACTCTAATACTAAAATAATAGTGATAGTTAATTTAAAAATTATTTCTAGAAAACCATGAAAAATTTGGTATACTCAGTATACGGTTGATGTGAATTATTTAATTTTGAATATTTGCTATAAATTAACTATTTTATAGTTAAAATGCTTCGATATTGCATTTGTGCAGTTTAAATCGAATTATGCATATCGACGCTTGAAAGGCAAACGTGACTAAGCGGCAATGCGTGAACTTTACAGTAGACTAATTTAAAGTTGAAATACCTGAAAACAAAAATTATTTTAACGAATCTAGCTGTAGTAGAATCTAGCTAGTAGCTGTAGGATTGAAATGATTTTAATAGACCTAGAAATATATTTTTTTTGCGCATCGAATATGGTTATTGCCTATCATTTATGTACAAAGCAGTTATTGTCGTTTAGTCACGTTTGCCTTTCAAGCGTCGATATTCAGATAACTTTTGAACTAGGTATTTATTAGTTCAAACTTCACATGTTCGTACTTTACTACAAGTATATAATAAGTAAGTATATATATATTTTATGTTTTAACATACGAGATTACGGTACGGACGGATTCGTTGTATTATAAAAGTATTTAAAATATGTTAAGATCAAGCTTAATAAAGGTACAATGATGTTAAATGGCACATGTATAAAATTATAAATAAACGTTTTTATATTATTATTATTATCAGTTGTGTATTCGATCAACTGAAATCTGGTTTGCGTTCGACCCTAAAGCACAATAATTACGTGTCTCTGTGCTGAGATATATGGACCGTTTATTTTGAAAGTGGTATAAGTCCATTTTTGAGAAAAATGAGCTATCACGTAATTCATGCTCAATTTAATGTAATTTTTTTATATATAACTAGTCCGTGTTTAATTTCTCAAAAAAATCCCATGTTTTGTACAACTTAAAATCGGTCGGTAAATGAAATTGCATAATCATCGATTATGAAAGTGGTGTAAGTCCAATTGACAGAGGTAGGTGGCATAGCCAGACCTCATATGATTTGCCTGTATTTTTAAATCAACAAAATTATAGTAACCTTTAATTTTCTCGAAACAAAAGAAAATGGACTTACACCACTTTCAAAATAAACGGTCCATATATCCGATAGTCGTCTCAATTCTTGCCTTAGTTTTCTCACTCCGAGCCATCAGAAATACAATTATGTATCTCTGAAAGAAAAAACGAGTTATTTAGAAAGACGTGATATAGTTAGGTATTCGCTAAGCTTCAACTTGTCCTATAAGAATGTTAAAACATGCATCCTCTAAGAAAATCAGGTTTGTCGTAGACGTCACAATTGTGTACCGCATTGTAAAGATGCTAGATGGTACGTTGTGGTACCTTTTAGTGTCGGTTTCGATGTATGCCGGAATGGCGGCTGCCCGGCCTTGACTGCACTATAGCATAATGATCACTGTTGTCCGATACAGACCTGATAATAAATAAAATATTATTTGTCATCGACGGACAGGGTCATTCAAAATTCACTAAAATCCGACTCCATTAGTAAAATGATAATATGAGAAACAATAAATAAAAATAAAAATAAAACCAAAACAATTAGTATTGATAAGTAACAAATGATTTGAACGAATTCTTTTTTGCATCAGACAAAATATTTCGTCTTAAAAGTTTGTATTTATATTGGATTAGCTAAAACAAGGCAATTTGTAATACATTTATATTTGTTTTACGTTGCCGACATCACCAATAGGTGAGCCATATCGTAAAAGGTAATAAAATATCATGATGTCTTATGCAAAAATGTTTTTATGATATATTGAATAAGAACTATATTTATTCGTTCGATTGTTGGAAGTTTTCAATAAAGGACCACTAACGTTCAGATTTATTGGAAATATTTAGTTTTTTTTTTGTGTCAAGAACGTAGCAAAAGATAATTTTTTATAGAAAGAATCTATATTTTTGAGGTGTCGTTGATTATGATAGAATTTCGATATTTTCTTTATTGCCTTTGTAGGGAGAGAAACCACCTGTGTGCTTAGTGCGAGTTTCTTAACGTTCACGTTAGCGTAAAAGTTAAGCCAGTTTTGTATGTAGTTGGAACAGCGCCCCTAGCGGCAAACGCACGCAAACGATCCCATTCCATACAAATACGATCTAACTTTGACGCTATCGAGAACGTTAAAAAACTCGCACTAAGCACACTGATGGTAAATTGTTACCGTCGCTCACGGACGTCAGCAATGCCAGGGTCACAGCCAAGTCGCTGCCTGCCCAATCTTTGAAAGAGTTCGTTCATGATGATAATTAAATTCGAATGCTATTCGTAAAACTCTATTCTAAGCGGCTTAATATTTATTTATAATGATTCCTTTCCACTATCAAGAAAATAAACAACATTATAAAACTATTAGAAGATATGATAGAAGAGTGTTTATTAATTCCACAAAACCTTCCAATAATCGGCGTATTAAATATGTTGAGTGAACTCTGAATGATCCTGTATAATACTAATCTCTTAAACTATAAATTATTATCGGTGTTTATACGTAAGTTTGATATAACTAGAAAGCACTATTATGTATATATGTTTAATAAAACATGAAAATATCCAAAATAAAATTACAGTAAAACCACTCGTTTGACGATTTAATAATATTTGTAAAAGTTATTTGAGTACGAAATAATCCATTTTTTTCGATTATTCTAAGTAATAATAACACGAAGATGTGATAATCTCCTGTGGGATAAACTTTGTCAGGAAAATGTTAATATCCACCGAAAACCATATTTTTTATAATGATTTTATATAATTTGATTACCAGTACTCACTTTTTATAAACCATCAATTAATCCTATGGTAAGCATAACAAAAAAAAAACATCAGTTAAAATTCGTTAATAACAAACGTAAGTGTGTTATTTTAATGTAGGAGTTACCTCGTTGAGTGAATTGTTGAAGACGGATACCTGCTGCCGTACTGGCTACCGTGCCAACTGCGATATGGATCATAATCTTCTACTACGGATGGATCTTTCTCAATTACCTGTGAACGTTTTATTTTCATTAAACACTAGCTGACCCGGCAGACTTCGTAGTGCCTCAATCGATAAATAAAAGACCTAAACTTTTGTATAAAATAAAGTTAAAACAAACAAAAGGAATCCGTCCGACGGGTGACACATCAAAGGAAAAACAAAATTGTTGTTTTTATTTAATTCCGAGCATTTTCATATTTATCTACCTTTTAAACCTTCTCTGGACTTCCACAAATATTTCAAGACCAAAATTAGCCAAATCGATCCAGCCGTTCTCGAGTTTTAGCGTTCGTTAGAACAGCAATTCATTTTTTTAAACAATGTTTCGGTGTTGCTTGATTTCGACAATCAAAGAACAATATAGGCTTTTTGAGAATAAATGCTTGGTTAATTTATTTATGTTACGGTGACAGTAATAAACTGGTGATTATATGTATCTATATAATAACCGGTAACGCTGGCGCCCAATTAATAGCGATATCTATAACCATTACCATTTGGGAATTAAGCATCTAAACCGTTTAATTTGATAAATTTTCAAAAAATTATATGTCAGTTTTTGTGGTGATTATTCATAATTACCGGTTATTGTATATAATCACCGGATTAATCATATTTACCATAACATTAATAAATAAAAAATCGTAAATAATATTTGTGTATTGATACCTATACATATCGAAGGGTAAAAGGCTGTTCGGTTTAAGCGCATTTCGCTTAATACGCGATAAATTTTAATTAAAATCCGTTTTATTTGATATTAGCATCAACAGTTCGATGTTTTTAATTTAACTTCAATTAAGTTTTTTAAGAAAAAAATTTATTATAATATTTTTTCCAAATTTGAAACTTCAAATACGTACCTCTCCCGTAAAGTAGCAAATATTTCGCTTAAACCAAATAACCTTTCACCCATCGATATGTCATGCTCTCACGTTTAAACGATCTAATTATTTTATTCACTAGGTAATTGTAATTAGGTAATATAAAGTTTAGTTTTGAACGACAGATACTTACATCTGTCCTTGCACACGAACACGTCATAGCCGTACAAAGGAAGCAATTGATGAGTAGCATGACGAGGAACATGACTCCGAGCGCGATGGCCAGATACAATAGCCACAGTGGCCGCACGTTTCCCTCCATACAGGACATGGCTGCGACTGGGAAAAGCAGAGAAAACTTTGTGAAGCGCCGAAGACTATGAGTGGGATTTCAAAAACTTTCAGTAGCTCGATCATTTTAGCATATTGTTAAAGCATGAGTCGCATCGTGTGATATTGGATATATTTAATTAAATTTTAACATATTCTTAAAATATAAAATGAGTGTATGTTGTTTACGCAATAAAAAAAAAAAATATGCGATCGAGTTCTTACTTCCTCTAGTTGTTATAACTTCAGGCATAATTATGCTTTAGCGTGCGATATTATACTATGCGAGTCTTTGAAATAAATTGAGTCTGCTTCACACGTTAAACATAGTCATAGCGTAAAGTACCACAATACAGGTAGTATTAAAAAAAAAGAAATGAGGCCATCCCCGAAAATAGCCATTTAAATTGAAACTGTTCGGGCTGTATCGATTTTGGAAATTTAGAAGTTAATCTGATAATATGCTTTAGCTTTATTATTTTTTTATTGCCCTTGTAGGCAGACGAGCATACGTCCCACCTGATGGTGAGTGGTTACCGTCGCCCATGGACTTTAGCAATGCCAGGGGCAGAGTCATGCCGCTGCCTACATAATTGTAGTATTGTATTTCAGATATTAATATCATCTACTCACTTGTGTTGTCGTTGGGGTCTAAAACGAACACTCCCGTGGATGCCGTCACGGTCCCTTCCTCATCACCTGGACTTTCACTGCCCTCGGTATCACATTCTACAGTTCCACAAGTGCTACCTGAAAAGTATAACTATTGTTAGATGATAGCTTCATTGATAATATCAAAAACATTCGCAAAACCATCCCTAAGTATATAATCGATGTTAGCACAGTTTCCCAGGTTGAGCTCCGTGAGCTCGCCTACATGAATGGTGAAGCTAGCATCATCCCTCGAGGCTACTATTAATAGGGAGGCTAAAAAAAATATATACGGTCGCGGTTCGATACCCGGCTGGAGTTGGTATCTTTGTTATTTGATATCTGGGCAATCATGTTCTTGTCTCGTATATGTTTCCAATACCTACATATAGCCATACCTATACCATACTCCGCATAGGTATTTCGGACTACTACGGACATATTTTCAAAATGAATAAATAACAATTCATGAATAATATAATAGTAATTTCTGACACACCCTCACGATGGACTTTTATATCGACATAGTGATGAGATCGAAGATATCGACTTTTCAAATATAAATACCTAGTTATGTAATAGATATCTTTGCGACGATTTCAGAAAAAGATTTATTAAAATAATTGTACCAATAATTCTAGAGGTATAAGGCATAATTGGCAATGCGTAGGTTATTTTTCCAACAATACCACTTTATCTTTCTAATTACGATTCTGATTTAGTTGGGTACTATACCGTGTCTCTCTAATAGGTAAGTATAGAAGTAGTGTACGGGTGTTCGAGTTCACGGCCCGAAGTGGTTATAGGAGTCCATGGGCATCAACAAGTAAATGTCTATGACGCTAATAAGTTAATTACTGTACAGTAATAAAATAAATAAATAAAAGACCCCGATTCCTTGAAGCAAGAATATTGGGATATGACTTTCCGAAAAAGTTGCGAATTTCATTTCGGTAAACAGTTTCGGTTTGCATGATGGGATAGTCTTATACAAATACAATTGAACTGTGATGGCATGTATCAGGGCGCGTGTGACGTTGTGATATCTTAGGGCTGCTGTAGGAACTAAATATTGAGTGATCGTGGACCCCTCTGCATCTATGCATAGACTAGGTAAGCATTGAAATTTATTAATCACTAGCAGACCCGGCGGACTTCGTAGTGCCTCAATCGACAAATAAAAGATCTAAACTTCTGTATAAAATAATCTTAAAACAAACAAAAGGAATCCGTCCGACGGGGGACACATTAAAATGAAAACAGAAATTGTTATTTTTATTTAATTCCGAGCATTTTCATATTTATCTTCCTTTTAAACCTTCTCTGGATATCCACAAATAATTCAAGACCAAAATTAGCCAAATCGGTCCAGCCGTTCTCGAGTTTTAGTGAGACTAACGAACAGCAATTCATTTTTATATGTATAGATTTTTGAACTTAAGCAAGTTTATGACCAACAAAACTTGATGATATTCTCTTTAATAACATATTCTGGTAAGGGAAAACAACGGAAAACTCCAANTTAAACCTTCTCTGGATATCCACAAATAATTCAAGACCAAAATTAGCCAAATCGGTCCAGCCGTTCTCGAGTTTTAGTGAGACTAACGAACAGCAATTCATTTTTATATGTATAGATTTTTGAACTTAAGCAAGTTTATGACCAACAAAACTTGATGATATTCTCTTTAATAACATATTCTGGTAAGGGAAAACAACGGAAAACTCCAAAGTCGAGAAGTAAAACGTATGTTATAATTTTGACAACCAATTCCGATCAACTTCTAAATCGACATTATTAATTAATTCGAACTATGCCGTTATCTGATCGTTATAGACGGTTACAGCAAAAAAATTTAATGGTACATAATATTGTTACCTTTGCAAATAGCGATGTCGCATTGGAAGTTAACTTGAGATGAGTCCGGGAACCGGAACATCGCTGCTATCGCTAACTCGGCCGTTCCACCTGTAGACCTTACTATTACCGAACTCTGTTTTATCGGGCACCTGTCGAGAAAATCATTAATAGCTACATTTGATTCCATACATGCACGATGAATTGCATTTACAATTATTATGTGTGTAGATATATGTGGCATTTATTCAACAGTATACAGAAAAAAGCGAGAATGATAACTTTATCGATTCATATTCGATTTGAAACTTACGATAAAGTTTTATTAGTGAAGACGGAAAAAAGCGCTATTTTTATTTTTTATTTTTATAGCTTAGATGGGTGGACGAGCTCACAGCCCACCTGGTGTTAAATGGTTACTGGAGCCCATAGACATCCACAACGTAAATGCGCCACCCACCTTGAGATATAAGTTCTAAGGTCTCAAGTATAGTTACAACGGCTGCCCCACCCTTCAAACCGAAACGCATTACTGCTTCACGGCAGAAATAGGCAGAGTGGTGGTACCCACCCGCGCGGACTCACAAGAGGTCCTACCACCAGTAAAACATACTTAAACTACTTGAAGCAAACATATTTAATAACAGAACAGCATTTGATTAACTTTTTTCTTACCCTTTATTATCGAGTAGTTCCGCTGTATTATTCTTCATGTTGAATCCGAAACAATTCTTTAATCTGATTCCATGCGTTCCTGCAATAAAGAATGGATGGGAAATATTTAGTGATTAGCTTCAGTATCGCGATTGCGTTTTCTCTCAGCGCTTCCTCTGGGGCCAAGGTTTTTTATATGTTTTTGATCGACAGAGAAGCTATAATGTTAATAGGCTAGCAAAATTAGTAGAATAATTGTAATCACTTATGTAATCGAAGGTAATTATCGCCAGGTTTATTGACGATTAGCTGTTTCCTTCTTACATGGCTGAGAAAAGAACCATCATGAAAATATTTGTGATAACGTCTTAGGTACGAATTTTCTAGGGAAAATTTTATGCATATTTTTATATTTGAACCACAGCATGGTCCCACCAACTGACACAAGTACATCAAGTGTATATTTCCTTAGGTGACGGATACTTCAAGGGCGTTTTAACGTTAATATTTTGGTCATTGTTTTTTAGTGCCTATTTGCCTAACAATTTTCGTGATCTATATTTATTAATGTATTACCTCGCCTATTTATTTATGTCCACCGAAAATCGTATAAAATATGTTTGGCACGTTCAATCCACGCTCATCTTCACCGGCACCTGATTTGGTGACCGATTTGTGTTTTTTGATAGGTACCCTAAAACACTAGTGTTCATTTTAACGGGGTTAAATAAAAGATGTAACGTACCATCAGATTTACTGATTTCGGCTTTCAGCGTGTAAGGCATTCCGAAGCCAACGTTCAATACTTTCCGTCCTTGGTCATCGAGCATTCGTAGTGAGACAAGCGAAGTTTCGTTCCTATGAAACAAATAAATAAAAAGTACATTGGTTAATAACTAAACAGGCAATTTTTTTTCCTACCTATGCCGATAGCCTTGAGAGTCTTTTTCAGCTTCTTCTTGAAGTGTAGATGAGCTCACGGGGCTTAAACCTGAGTGTCCCTAACAATGGCTCTAGCAAGAGTAGTGCTTCACAGGATCTATCACCGGATCGCAAACGCGACTCACTGGAAGATCTGGCGAGAAACTCAGTGGGCTGTGTCTATTGGTTAATTTATTCGTCGAGCCCTTCGTCGCTAGTGACGAGTTCGGCGAGGACGGTGACCGGTGCTTGAGGTACCTAAAACCACCGTTAATGGATCGGGAGGATCCGTAATGACGTGTTTAGGGCGACGTCGACTGTTTACCATTCGGTCCACAGGAGCGGGTATGAATGGGNGGAAGATCTGGCGAGAAACTCAGTGGGCTGTGTCTATTGGTTAATTTATTCGTCGAGCCCTTCGTCGCTAGTGACGAGTTCGGCGAGGACGGTGACCGGTGCTTGAGGTACCTAAAACCACCGTTAATGGATCGGGAGGATCCGTAATGACGTGTTTAGGGCGACGTCGACTGTTTACCATTCGGTCCACAGGAGCGGGTATGAATGGGCTGTATAGACCTATTGTTCTTTAGCTTAGTTTTCCTTATAGTCGACAGTATGGTAACAGTGTTGCATTGAGCAAGTTTTGAGTACATGTCAAAACCTTACCGAGAGTTTTTAAAACCAGCTTTTCCGCAGGTTATGACGTAAAACTTGTCGTCGGCCAGCTCTAGTGTCCGATGCACCCGAACCGCCAAAGGCAACGATCGTTCATCAGTGCGCTGAAAAGGAAAGGTATTATAAACGAAATGTCAAACTATAGAAACAATTTTGCATAAAAACGTTTTATCTAAAACATAACTATAAATTTGGATATCACATTTAGGTAGGTACCTATGTAAGAAATTTAGTGCAATAATAATAATGCTTTTTGATTCAAACAGATTTGAATTGCTGTGAAACTGCAGTAAATTAAGAATAATAAAAAATCGAAACAAAATAAAAAGAGAATATAATAAATGTAGTCAATTAAGTATGCATTATTAAGAACAACTCAAAAGCTACAGATCACATGTTGATTAAATGGGACCCCATAAAAAGAGAATGTAATGAAAGTAGTAAATTAAGTCAATCAAGTATGCATTATTAAAGATAACTCAAAATCTACAGATTAGATGTTGATTAAATAGGACTCCATGAGAGGCGCTATCAATACAAAAAATACAGTAGAATTGATAACTGCCTTTTTTGAAGTCGGCTAACAAATAAAGACAGGCTAGGCGGCGACGGCTTTCCGACTTGTTACTTCGTCTTATAGATTTAAAGGCTTGATTTTAGTCAGATTGTTATCTGCCGCTACAAGCTTTCTGCATAAAACCTAACAGGACTTGCTTGAAATATTCGTTGGCATTACAAGGACTTAAGATTAAATGTATTTATAACACGTTCATTTGGTAACGTAAGTGGCGTAATATCGTATCAAATATTATTTCGGGTACCATTTTTGTACGTAAAAACCTGATACATATTCAAGTCGTCAGACTTACGATTAAGGAATGAGAACATGTTTTTAAAAGTCAAACCAGCAGAATTTATTAATATGCGTAATTACTAACCGTACTGTGGGTTCGCATGGTGTCGCTTCGTGCAAATACTCTACTCTGCCGCAAAGCAGTCATGCATTCGAATTTCAAGGGCACGCTAGCCTGTATACAAATAACTGAGACCACGACCTCATATTTCAAGACAGGTGGCGGAATTCACGTTGGGATGTCTATGAGTTTCTATAAACATTTGACGCTACATAGGATGTGAACTCAATATAGTTCGGATCTTCTCAGTGGGTCGCGATTCCGATTCCGTGGTAGATTCTGCGAAGCATTGTTTTGCTAGGGCTAGTGTTGGCAAATTCTCTCAGTAGAGCCCGTGAGCTCACCGACCAGTTCGGGCGTAGTTGGAATAGCCTCTTAAGCTACCAGTGAATAGATGGGAAGAATAAATTGAAAACAAAAAACTCTGGTAACACGCGATGACAAAATAAAAAACTGCAAAATTGGGTATGACTACTCAATTTAAGTATGTAAAGTATTATAATTAAAACTACTTTTACGGTTTAATCGCGCGTTTTTTATAGTCGTTATATTATTTTCAACATTTAGAATACTTTACGGTTTTCGTGGTCACGACAAAGGTCATCGACATTTGAATATTGTAATAACTGCCGTCTGTTTTTGTATAAAATTATTTGCAGATTTTTGCATTTCGTTTCCCACAGAACGAATTAATGGTATCTTTTAGTATGGCAGTTTGTTCGCCTTGGGGTATCGCTTTCATATGAAGAGGATATGTAAATAGTTCTGAAAGCTGTTATAAAAAGTACGTATCTTGAAAAAAATAGTTTACGTGTTCTTCCAATCGGTAACAATCTTTGGCCCTCCGGAACATCATCGTATGAATAATGGAATAGAAAATGAAAATCAACTATCCGCATTGCGAGAAAATTGTCAGTACTGTTAACACTCACGTTATTCCAGAATACGCCGCAATGATCAGGCGATCCCTGTGGAGCGATCAAGTTGATATCAAAGTTTAGCGATTCGGTGCCATTGCCGAGCGCCATACATGATGGGGTCCTGAAATAAATTTTTGAATATAAATTACACAAGACTTAAATAATAATAGCAAATAGGAAAAAAAAATGGGTTATTCAAGTAACACGAAGTCATGTTCTTTTTGTAGTTCTCGAATTTTTTGAAAAGGTGATTCCATGGATATTATTGACTGGGTTTTGGGACATTTGAATATTAAAGTATAAAAAAAAAATTACAACAGTTGAAAGCCTTGCTGTAAGAAACTAGTACCATTTTCATTGCAATCATTGCCAATATAAGTTAACGAAAATTATCGTCTTTATATGATCACAAAAGTATACTGTAACTACAATAGTCATTAAAAAAAAACAATTTATCGATTCTCTGATTATAATCGAGAGAAAAACAATGCGATGACTTGAAATTTTTTTTGTAATTTGATTTTATCGTTTGATAAGCAATTGAATTTGAACCAAACGATAAAATTAAGACTAATGGCGTTACGTTGAACAGCGGGCGGTTTACAACTAATCTTTCCTTACCTATATTCTCTAGCGTGGGCTACACCATAGAAAGGCTGGTTGAAGTTAATCTTGATTGACATAACTCCGGTCTTGCATGTTGCTCGTACAACTGGAGAGAAATCCCCAGTAGTCCCTTCCGTGTTCTGAATAAAAATATTACTTTGAAAATCTAGTTTGACATTCTAATTTATACCTACTCATACTACCTGACCCGGCAGACTTCCTAGTGCCTCAATCCATAAATAAAAGACCTAAACTTTTGTATAAAATAAACTTAAAACAAACAAAAGGAATACATCCGACGCGGGACACATCAAAGAAAAAACAAAATTGTTATTTTTATTCAATTCCGAGCATTTTAATATTTATCTACCTTTTAAACCTTCTCTGGACTTCCACAAATAATTCAAGACCAAAATTAGCCAAATCAGTCCAGCCGTTCGCGAGTTTTAGCGAGACTAACGAACAGCAATTCATTTATATATATGAAGGCCTATAAAATCAAAGGCAGCTAAACGCCATAATGTCGTAAAATGGATTAACAATGGCGCTATCTTGTTTAGTTAGTAGAACACGCTTTAGTGTTTTCATGTTATAACAAATGCAGCTAAATTAGAAAGCATTTTACAAAATCAGTTCAAGAATTTTATTTTTACTCTGTACTAAGTACTCGAAGAATAAACGAAGTTTTATCATTTAAAATTCAGATTATTAGTAATATTCTCATTATTTATAAATCTGCTTTAAAATAAAGAATATCGTAGCTATCCGAACAAAGTTATTTCAGCTTCTCAAACCGGGAGTGCTGCTAACACTGGCTAACAATGGATCGGGAGGATTCGTAATGACGTGTTGGGCCGATTTTTGTAGTTTACCTGAATATTTGATAGACTTGGATTTATCTGCCCTTGATTTTATAGGCCTCATATATAGATAACTAATATTAAGGCGGATTTGACTTGATTTCACGTAATAAAATCCAAGGAACAAAGTTTCATCAACTATGCTATTACAATTTTGCTTGGGTACAATCGAGTAGTTCTCGAATGGCTCTTAGTAAATTGTACTTGCGATCATTAGATTCGTCTTTACATGACTTATTTATTTTACTTGATAACGAGGACTTGTTAGTGGACATCTTTTTAATAATTATTTTATTAGATCTACCTATTTCTGCTGCGGTGCAGCCATGGGCTTTGTCTTAATAGTTGAGAGTTGAGACAACCGTTATACAATTCAAGAGAGATATTGACCTCATGTTTCAAGGTGGGGCATTAACGTTGCAATTTCTCTATGGTCTGGCGACCATTTAACACAAGATGGGTCATGAGTTCGTTTAGCCATCTAGTATAAAAAGCTGAAATAAACTCATTAAAAGTGAAATAAATTTTTCATTCGCTATTTAAGAAGGAAAACGTGAGGATGAGTCATAAAATAAGCATAAAAAGTATAAATCCTCAAGGTCACCTGACGTGTTCATCTATTAACATAACGCAAAAACAGCAGTCACATAAATTGTTATTTCCAGTTTTTCAGCATTGTTTGGATAAATATTATATATCCAGATTTAACGGATAGAGTACTTACTGTGTCAAGTTTAATACGATGTTTGCGTGTTTAATGATCGTATTCAAACCATTGATATCTTGTGTTGGTTTAAGTTTTTATATTTTGATTGGAAGGTCTTATGGACATTCAGAATATATTTTCATATCATAATATTTAGGTTAGACATGTTTTGAATTTATTTGGAAGTACTAGTAGTACCATTAGACTTCATTATCTTAGAATTTAGGGTGTAATCATCCTTTTTATAAACACATTTCGGCTTCCTTTATGTTACTGGTGTCGAAAGACGAAAATGAATTCCTTTAAGTAATTTATTCGTGAAGTGCATAACGTACTTAGATTATGCAATAGTTTCCTGTAATGTTTGGCATTGGTCTGCTACAAATGGTTAGCGCGGCCGAATGGCATGTTTGTCCTATTGTATTTAATCACTGACACGTCTACTTCGTGAATAGTAATAATAAAATTTAGATTTATAATAAGATTTAGCCTATAAATTGAAATGTTAATAAAAATGCAGGAATAAAACTATATAAAGAAACGTATACATTTTTTTCAAACGAAATTTCCGGATAGTTCACATTTCGACTTGGTTGTCTTCTTGGCATACCATCTATAATGGTAGTAACCGCTCATCATCAGGTGGTGTCAATAAAATTAATTTTATTTAACTTTAGCTTACTTAGTTGAAGTACCGTATACCAAGATATAAAACCACTATACCTACATATCTGAGAGGGCCAAAGGGTCGTGCCCTCGAGGCGACGGCGAGAGATCACGATTCTATCTCCACGATTCATTCTAAAGCACTAGTGCTATAGTTAGATAAAGCGGTACACGGTTATGCTTTTTATTTACATGTAGAGCTATTTTATTGGAATTCGCATCGTTAGTTTTTATTGTTATTATTTGATTACCTATTTCAAGAAGAAAAAAAGCAATTTGAATTAAGCTGAAAGTATCTCCTGATTTCTTTCTTTACTTATTTGTTTAATTTACAACAAGATTCGTTTAGGAAGTTACACCACAGGTTACACGTTTGCGATATATGTATGTGATTTTTTCAAATTAATAAGATCTAGATTCCGTTTTTGAATAGTAGGGATTAGCAATAACATTTTGATTTGCAATTTTTTTGTGACTTTGTAACTTTTACGAGCTTGCACTACTACAGAATACCTTTAAACAAATCCTCCACAATAATGTTTAAAAACTCGTAGAATCATAAAATATGTAAGTGTTCAACATCTGTCTTATGAACGTCTTATGGTAATATTTTAACGTTGGCCGCATTGTCTATGAATATTCAAGTTGGTTATGTTATGACGGATTGCCATGAAATTTTTCAATGTCTTTGAATTTTTTGTTTCTCCGCATAAAGGTAATACCAGTTTTTTTTTGTATACATACGTTTAGTGCTATTTTAAAAGTTATCTTTAAATTTATCATATCTACTATATTATTTACTATTAGGTATGTTTCCTATATTATTTGTAGTGTATGTAATATCGCTATATAATAAAGCTAATATTTTTGTTGTTGTTGTAAAAAATGTATTCTATCTCTTAATTAAACAAGGTTTTTTAGAGTTCTTAATGGCGGACACGACCTCGTTGCGTCTCTATCGTATATGTTACTTATTAGCAACGGTAGCCACTCACTGTTTGTGTAGACCGTAAAAGATGCATGCACATTATAAACAACGAAATCGACTTTCCGTTCCACCAAGTTGTTCTCCAAGCGTACGGTAGTTAACGATATTACTTGCCAATGTTCATGATTTGTAATGACTACTTTCCATTATACTACTCGTGTAATTCGCATGCTGTTTATAAAGATAATTAAATAATAATACATTTCCTTTTATCAATTTTCTAGCTAGCTTTTGTGTGTGGTGTTCTTACGCGATTAATTATGTTAATAAATACTGAAACGATTGCGAAACATTTTATAGAAAGTTGTTTTAATGCTACGATAACTCTACCACATGTGTAAGTATTGTTGTCTTATTGAAGTGAAAACTTCTTTAGAATCGTTGTGATTTCAAACCGGATGCAACGGAAAAAACGACAGGTAAGAGACACAAATACAAAAATGTGTAGGATGAAGCCAGCAAAGAATGAGACAGAAATATACATACTATTTAATACAGCGCCATCTGTGAGATTTTTTAATACTAACGTGTGTATGAAAGCTCTTGTAGTGAATTTTAATTTAGGATTATACGTGAAATTAAAATATCAATTCACAGAGGGCGCTACCTTACAATTATTTACTAATGACAAAATTTTACATATACTTAAGACGTTTAGGATAATTGTATTTTAATTTTGGAAGGTTTCACTTCTACCACGTGTGAATTGCACACATTTTGTATTTTTTTTATTATCCAAGCCTGCTTTGCCTTTTAAATTAAACAGGAAAAAGCATTTTTTCAACCAACTAAATTAACGCAAGTATTAACTTAACCTAACGTTACGATATTGTAAGATATTCTGTTCATTAATGTTAAATTACTCAGTGAAACATTACATTAAAACTTGCCCTTTCATTGTTAGTAGAAAATGTTATATTGTCAACAGAGACAAGTGAAGTGCTCGAAAATTAGACTAAGGCTGACGTTGAGACCACCACAGGTGCATTATTATTATGGTATACAATTTAAATATGATAATGATATCTTTATTACACTAACCAACCAAATATAAAGTTTCTTATTAGTACCTACCGGTTCTCGATTGTAATGATACTGATATTCTTATTACACTAACCAAAATTCTAAATTTAAAGTTTCATATCGGAAGTTTCTTATTAGTACCTACCGGTTCTCGATTATAATGATACTGATATCCTTATTACACTAACCAATATTTGAAATTTAAAGTTTCTTACTAGTACCTACCGGTTTTCGATTGAAATGATACTATCGGTAATCGTAACGCAGAACCCGTTACGCTATACAATGGCCAGCGCAAAATCTCGAAGGTCTTTCTCCAGTGCTGTGGTTCTTATAGTTGCGTTCTAGTTTTTATTGTGTCGCGTTAGAAAAAAAAAAAAGAAAGATTTTGTCGATTCCAATACGTGAAGTTTGATTTCGCTTGCAGTATACGAGCCGCCTACGATATTCCAAGATGGCAATGGAAGGACCAAGTAAAAAGTCGTCGTGGCCTAAAAGATAAGGCACATCGTGTACTAACATCAAACGATGCAGATTATTATTTTCTAAGAGATTATGCATTCAGCACGTGATCATGAACGATTTCAGTGATGAAACAATAAAAACTATATACAAAAAAAAACAAGGCGAGCGCACAGATGGGTTCCACGTTCTGCCTGTTTCTTCCGTGAAGTAGTACTTCGTTCTGGCTTAGAATTGAGACTTCGATCTAATGTTTCAAGGTGACAGCATTAATGTTATTGGGCTGCAGTAATCAGTTTACAGTAAATGGACGATCGGATCCTTCTCTCGGAGAAACACCTTCTGATTAATTCCCGAAACTGACAAGTACTGTTAAGTACTGTTGAGAACAAGTATGGACGTTATATAATAATTCTTCTTGTTATAGTTAATTAC